ATGGATACGATAGTAAAACACGACGTACGGATAGGGTTAAGTGGTGGCACAGAATTCCCCACGTCGTATGGATACAATAGTAAAGCACGACGTACGGATAGGGTTAATGTAGGTGTTTTTACAGCCCCATCGACACAATTTAGATCATTTAGGAGGCGGGCTTCCCACCCTGCTTGTCAGGCCCAAGACGATCTGAGAGGGACAACGACTGACCATCAGAAAGACTGAAACATTCACGAAAATAAGATTTTAGTGTCTTTCCCATGCTGGAATCGAACTGGCTTCTCACACGTTTGGCAGCGAAGTGCCTAACGGATACACCACCGCACGCCAGAGCTGTGGAGTGGGATGTATTGAGGACTACGTTGATACAAGTTAGATCATTTGTGACGCATCATGAGGAAATCAAGCTCTCGTCAAAATATAGAATTAAAATTAAATGATATTTTTCTTTCTGTTTCACAATTTTTATCGATTTTTTTCTTTTCTTTTCTTTTTTGTGTGTGTGTGTGGGGGGGGGGGGGGGGGGGGGGCTCCACACCTTTTCTGTCCATTTAAAAACATATTATTGCTGTGTGGACTTTACTGGGAAAATGTTGATTAAAGGCATCCCCCCCCCAAAGAAAAAAAAAGAGAAGTAAATTCCCAGTTTCCAAGGACACTCAAACTTTAGAATTCACCAAACGTTGTCCTCATTTCCTCACTAATAAAGTTTTACCATTCAAACGAGGTCACCCCTACCTCCTTCAATCGCAAATATCTCGACTTCTATTCAAGATAGATGGGTTTGTTTTAAAATGCAAGACAAATAAACAGGCTTTAAGATTATCCCAAAAATTGCTCTTCAACGAATGGATTTTTTCGCCTCAGTAATCACCCACATTATGCCGATCCAGCCGAATCGTAAGATAACAGACTATACGTTTGCATCGGTCTTTAGCCACGGTGGGATCGGCTGGGCTCGCAACAGCTGTGTGCAACTCTGTCATGCTATGTGGGCTGATCGTTTCAGGGGACACAGTTTACAACACACCACAGACACAATACATACACACCACATACACACTCACCCAGAGATCCTGCGCTTACACACGAGCGCGTGTTGGAACGCGCTCATATGCACAAGTACTAACACGTATACACACACTCTCATTTTCTTTCTCTCTCTTATTTTTTTGGGGTTCCCTTTCTCGTACACAGATACACACAAACAAACTGAGACACACACACACACACACACACACACACATACACACACACACACACACATACACATACACACACACACACACAT